GTCCCACATGTGCCCAGCTTGAGGCCCTGGAGAGGCAGGTGAGGGAACTCCAGGCAGAGATTAGCAGGCTGCAGGGGATAAGGGCTGCAGAGGATAAGATTGATGGGTACTTTCATTCTCTGCAGGCCCACACAGCTAGTGGGAAGTCAATGTGGGAGGGACCCAGTGCAGACATGTGGAAGACTGCCACCTCCAAAACCAGACATCACACTGTTGAGGCAACTTCCCCAGTGCAACTGGGGAACAGAGACGAGGCCCTGGCATCAGTAGAGGAGAGTGCAGCAGAGGAAGCCACATCCACAGCCACCTCCATGCAGACTGAGGGACAATCGGCGTTGAGTCATTGTGGTGGGTGACTCCCTCATGAGAGGAATGGGGGGAGTCATCTGTGACCCAGATCCCACAGCATGGGAGGTAAGCTGCCTGCCTGGAGCCCGGATTCAGGATGTCACTGCGAGGATTCTTGACCTCCTCTGGCCCTCCGACTACTATCCCATGGTCCTCCATCCAAATGATATGGTCAGGAGTAGTCCAGGCCAAATCATGAGTGACTACAAGGCTCTAAGAGGCTTAGGAGATCGGGGGCACAGGTAGTCTTCTCATCCATCCTCCTGGTCAGCAGTCATGGCCAGCATTGAGACAGCTGCATTAGAGAAGTCAACTTGCAGCTCCAGAGTTGGAACTATCATGAAGGTTTTGGCTTCTTTGACCATGATCCGCACTTCCATGAAAGGGGCATGCTGGGATGTGATGGTCTGTATCTCTCTTCAAAAGATAAGAGCTATTCTCTTACAGGTTGGCCAATCTATGCAGGGCTTTAAACTAGGTGTGTCAGGGGACAGGGATGCAGAAGACAGAGAGAACCTGGGAACAATAAACCATGAACCGTGCGCTGGGACAATACACATTAGTACTGAGGGGCCCGATAGGCATCAGGACAGGGGGGTACAAAAGGCACCTATTGGGGGACTTAAGTGTGTCTATACTAATGCGAGGAGTATGGGTAACAAGAAGGAGGAGCTCACATTCCTTCTTGCAGACAAGGACTTTGACCTGGTTGAATTAACTGAAACCTGGTGGGACCCTACCCACGATTGGGCAGTAGGCACTGAGGGCTATAGTTCTGTATAGATGTGATAGAGTGGGGAAAAAAGGGGCGGGGGGGGGGTTGCTCTCTGTTAAAGAGCAATACATATCTTCAATAATCAAGATGGACAAATTGAGATAATGTGGGTCAGAATGCAAGGGGGTCAGGGTGAGAGGGACTTGGTAGTAGGAGTCTATTACAGACTGCCACACCAGGATGAGCTAGACCTGGAATTCTCAAGGCAGCTCTCAGAGTTAGTACGCTCAAGGGACATGGTTGTCATGGTTGACCTTAACCTCCCTGACATCAGCTGGGAGGAGCAGTCAGCTAGATCCAACTGTTCACATAGGTTCTTAACCTGCAGACAGGACCTTCACCTAACACAGGAGGTATATAGTCCCACTAGGGGAAATGTCTTACTGGACTTAGTGTTTGCTACAGGGGATGACCTGGTGGGAGAGCTGTAGATACAAGGTAATCTAGGAGATAGTGACCACCAATTGTTAGAATTCAGTATCCGTCAAAAGGTGGAAAAGATAACCAGTAGGGCAGAAGTGCTAAACTTCAGAAAGGCTAACTTCAATGAGCTCAGGAGGTTAGTAAGTGAGGCACTGAAGGACAAGGACTTGGTGAGATGGGAGTTCAGGAAGGGTGGTCGTTCCTCAAGGGAATGATCTTTTGGGCACAGAAGGGGACAATCCCGTTGTACATAAAGGGGGGCAAAGGGACCAAGAAACCCTCTTGGCTGAACAGGGAAACCCAGCAAAGCCTAGGGATGAAAAGAGAGGCGTACAGACTGTGGAAGCAGGGGGTAGCCACCAAGGAGGAATATACCTACTTGGCTTATACTTGCAGGGAGTTGATTAAAAAGGCCAAGGCAGCAATGGAACTCAGACTGGCAATACAAGTTAAAGACAACAAAAAGTCCTTCTTCAGGTATACAAAAAGCAAAAAGAAGGTGCTACCCCCCTTCTTGCAAAAAGAAGACCCCTACAGGACAGGTAGGGCAATTAATGACAGATAGGAGGGACAAAGCTGAGCTCTTCAGTGAGTTCTTTACATCAGTATTCCTGAACATGGATAAAGACATATCTCCAAATTGGACTATAGACAGGCACAGGAGGGACACCAGCCCACCAACAGTTAGCACCAACCTCGTGAAGGGACACTTGGAGGGGCTTGATGTGTTTAAGTCAGCAGGCCCAAATGATCTTTATCCAAGGGTGCTGGAAGATTTGGCCAGTGTCACAGCAGAACCACTGGCAAGACTATTTGAGCAATCATGGCACTCAGGACAAGTCTTAGAGGACTGGAAAAGGGCCAATGTGGTCCCTATTTTCAAAAAAGAGAAGAAGGAGAATCCAGGTAACTCTAGTCTCACCTCTATCCTTAGGAAAACATTTGAAAAAATTAGTAAGGATTTCATTTGTAGGAGCCCATCAGGAAAAAGAATGCTGAAGGGCAACCAGCATGGCGGATTCATAGCAGGGAGATCCTGCCTGACAGACCTTCATGGCCAGGTCACAAACTGCATAGATGCAGGAGTCAAGGTAATACTTGGATTTTAAAAAAGCCTTTGATATGGTGTCTCATCCCATTCTCATAAATAAACTAAGTGGCTATGATATAGATGATTACACAGTCAGGTGGGTGGTGAATTGACTTATGGGATGCACCCAGAGAGTGGTGGTAGATGGGTTGGTCTTAACCTGGAAAGATGTGGGCAATGATGTCCCCCAAGGCTCGGTCCTTGGACTGCTGTTCAATATCTTCATCAGTGACATGGACAAGGGTGTGAAGAGTGCTCTGTCCAAATTTGCAGATGACACCAATTTATGGGACAAAGTAAACACCAGTGGGCAGGGAACAGATTCAGGTGGATTTGAATAGGCTGGAAAAGTTGGCAGAGCAAAATAGGATGCAGTTTAACAAAGATCAGTGCAAAGTACTGCACCTAGGGTGAAGGAATCACCAACACATACAGACTGGGAGATGACTTTCTAAACAGCACAGCAGCAGAAAAGGATCTCGGAGGCATAGTTGACTCAAAGATTAACATGAGTCAACAATGTGATGAAGTAAGCAATAGAACTAAACACACTTTATCATGCATTAACAGGTGCATCACAAACAGGTCTAAAGAGGTGATACTTCCTCTTTATGCAGCACTGGTAAGGCCACAGCTGGAGTACTGTGCCCAGATTTTGGTGCCGCACTTCAAGAGGGATGTGGATAATCTTGAGAGCATCCAGAAGAAGGCCACACATATGGTTAGGGGCCTGCAGGTAAAATCCTACAAAGAGAGATTGAGGGACCTGGATCTCTTCAGCCTCCACAAGAGAAGGCTGAAAAGTGATCTAGTGGCCATCTACAACTTTGTTGGCAGGGAAGGGGGCAAGGAATAGGAGATACTCTGTTTACCAAGGCACCCCTTGGAGTAACTAGACGCAATGGCCACAGACTGACAGACAGCAGATTTAGATTAGATATTAGGAAGATCTAATGATCTACTTATTTACAGTAAGGGTTACCAGAATCTGGAATGGGCTTCCAAGGGAGGGGGTGCTCTCCCCTCCCTTGGAGGTTTTTAAGAGGAGACTGGACAAGCATCTGACTGGGGTTGTCTGACCCCAATGCTCTTTCCTGCCCAGGGCAGGGGGTTCGACTCAATGATCTACCAAGGTCTCTTCTGACCCTAAAAAAATATTAAATCTATGAGGGTTTGTTTTTCTAATCTGCCTGGGGAAAATGTAGCCCTTGTCTTGGATTTAAGTATGAGCCCAGGGCAGGGGGTGGGTCATCTCTGGCTTTGGCCCTGAGTTTGAGGCCCAAGTTAGAGATGAGCTGCTACCTACCCTGGGATTGAATGACTGATCTGGAGGGGGAGAGGGCCTGTGGCAGAGCGGACTGTGCAGAAGGAAGCGAAACCTGCAATCTGCACCTCCAACCCATGTTCCCCATGACTGTGCCTGCCCTCTACCTCCTGCTCCCTCCACTGCCAGCTTCAGTCGCTCCTTCCCTGATCCAGCCCAGCTGCTGCAACTTCTAGCTGGCTGGGCTGGACTAAGGTGGATGGGGCCACTGCTGCTGTTGAGTGAGATCTAAAGCAGAGGCTGCAGCATAAGATAAGGGGAGAGTGATCAGGGACGGGAGCATGGCATTGGGGGCAGGTGGCCAAGCTGCATGTGGCAGCAGATGGTGGGGAAGGCAGGCATGGACATAGGGCACATTGCAGGGAGGTGCTGGGTACAGTGGTGGAAAGGCAGCAGGAAGGTAGACGTGGGTGGGCCTAGGGGCAGGGGCTCCTTTCCC